TTTGAATGTTTCCATACTCAAGCATCCACAATAACAAAATATCAGAATTTATTTTGTACCTGAACGTATAAACGATGCGATCGCGTAGTGGTGATGTCCAGCTCTCGTGGAGTCTGAAAGTATATCATGACAGTATGAGTATAGCGATGCTTACTTTAAACACACATTTGGGTATTGATACTGCAACGTGATACCCTGGCTTCTGGACTGCTTTTCGTAACAATCAATAAACTTGGCATATCGGGCGTAACTCCACGCGATAGGAAGCTACCGTTTCCCCGACTATGACCACGGGCGTGACTTCTATGCGGTTGGAAGTTACCAATTCCCCCTGCAAGGTATTTCCATATGAGGCATGGCTTTCATCCGTTACCCTGATCATGGACACGGGCGTGACTTCCATGCGGTAGGGAGCTACCGTTCCTCTGGTTATGGACATGGGTGTGACTTTGATCCGGTATGATGTTACCCTTCCCCATGCAATGTGTTCTAATATCTGATAATATAGATGAGAAATAGAATTAGGGCCGATTTCACCAACAGTATTATTATGGACCAATAGGAAAATACCTTATCGAAATGCAATTTGACGGAAGCTGTCAAAGGTCTCAGAATATCAGTGATTTATATTAAAATGTTGAATAAAATCGTGAAAATTCGACTGTATTAAAACAAGACCACTTTTTGATTCCAACATGATGCTTTTGTACAGAGAAAACAGGACAACTTTCATGTATTTTGATTTATGTTATAGGTGTACATTTGACCATCCGTTATCCCCTCAGCGAATGGGAATGGGAGAAATAATAGGTCGATTTTCTAGCTGTTAAATTTGGCAGCAGGTTTGGTCGTTTGTTAATTCATGGCAATCTCGAAATTTGTTAAGTTCAATATACTGTGTGAATATGTGATCATCATAGCTACACATACCTGTTGAATTGTGCGGATTTGCAAGAAAATAGAATATAAAATGCATTCCAACCAATTCCTCGTTTCTCTTGACATCATAATAGTAATCATTTGTTATAAATTCAATGGGTTAATGAATTTCTTCAAAGCAATCAAAACAGTATGTCGTCCCCATCCTAAAACACCAATATGTGTAAAACATGTTAATCCCTACATCTCCGAGGTGCATAATGCAATTACTGTAGACATAGACCTAAAATTATTAGTAATTACTAAAAAATAAGAGCTAAAAAGAATTATAAATCCTGATAAAATATTGGAGATTAAGGTTTTTGACTGGTGCCTCTTGGGGATACAATATAGGGATGGCGACGATAGACGATACATTGATGTATCGAAAACATCGATACATCGGACATAGAACATCGATCTTTACGCATCGATGGTTTCATGACGATATATCGATATCGAGAGGAATCATAAACATCCGTAACCGTATACCCCGAGTATGTCCTTAACTGTGCTACCATCTCTAAGCGAGGACTGGTAGCTTCGAAATTGACAGGCCAGAAAGCTATTTAGGTGTTTAGTAGTATTTGAATATTATCATTACAGACGAGCACTGAGCCACTGAGTGGCCACTGAGCACTGTAGTCTTTTCTTCATTCCCCAAGGGATAGAATAAAATAGACTGAAAACAGCGCGTTTAATGATGAGAGTTGTTTAATATTGTTATGGGAGCAACTTTAGGATCAAAGGTATTTACTAAAGTAGAGTATTTTAAACACAAAAACTGCGCTAGTTTTATCAGAAGAAAACACTATATCTCTGAGCCACAGAAGCAAAGCGAATCTCAGGCTTTCGATTCTCCCATCACTAGTGCGGTGAAATGACAATTTGTCCCTTCTTGGATTACTTGAAAAAGTGATGTGCTTTCCAGTTCGTTTCATTACGATGCGTTCAGTTCTAGGAACTAGTTCGTGAACCAACTACTTTATGCAACAATACCACAAAAAATATATATACAGAAACAGAGCAGATATTCCAGTCTTTCAGTCGAGATAACGTAAAAACGATTCAATTCATATTTTTTAACCATTCCAATACATTCCACTGATCGCAAATGTATTCTCCCATCACCAACATTATGAGACACTAATTTCAAATGTCAATTCCGATCTCCTTTGGTCTATTCTCCTTCTACAACGTCACTGTACTCTATGTTTTGTGATCACTTGTTTTGTTATGTGTCAAAAATGGAATTTTTAACAACAAATTTCCGTATAAAAGTGCTCCCTCCAAGATTTTTTTGTGAAGAAATTATCGTGTATCGTGTACACGTTAAATCTACACGAACCCCTAAATACGTGGTTATGTTGAATGTACCATCACCGATGGTGCGACTGATTATACACTGAAATTAAAACAAAAAACTGCAACTGCAATTGTATGTATGAATGTTGAAACTGTTGAACAGTTTGGGACTAGTGGGGTTAAAATATCGTTGAGGAACTGGAAAGAAGTGTATGAATGTGTTGAAATGCAACACCTAACAAAAATTTAAGTGAAAAGGCTTTTTCATGTAAGGGTTTGGAAGTGCAAGTTTGCAAATATAGGATAAACTATAAGCACACAGTAGGTGATATAATCACATATGAATTACAAAAGTTGCAGTAAACATGGAAAAACCTTCAGCTAATCTGAAAAAATAGATTTTATTCAGACATCAAGCACTTTTAAAAATGTTGGCTCAGTTTTACATAATTTCATAATATTTAATAAACTGAAAAGATTTCAATGGCAAGCTGTCACTTCATATTTTACAGTGTTTTGTTTTGAATACTTTGATGCTATTTGCTGACAAAAATTTGACGGAGAGATCTTGAGGCTGATTGGGTATATTTAACGGACTGTTTGGTACTCGTACCCTATTGGTGCAGAATAACGGTTTGTTAAATTGTGAAATCCACCCTTAGTGTATTGTTTAATGACCAGTAACAAGACAGCTAATTAACATAATCAATAGACAGTACACATGCGAATAATAATAATAATAATATTTATTTACTCTAAAATACAGGGAACATGAAACGAGTAAATAAATATAATATATCCATAGGAGGACAACGCCTGTGCATGGATCATATGTATGTTGAATTGCATAATGTAATAAAATAGAGAGAAAAAAGAAATTATTGGTAAGAATGGTAGAGCATTTATTGTGTAATATTTGAGATTATTTTATTAATTTGATTTCTCCCAATCGTGTTAATGAATTTTTTTAATTTTTTTTTTAGCCTAATGTATTGCGTAATTGTTTTAAATTATTTGGTAAATGTTCGTACAATTTTGGAGCTATATACAGGTGACATCTTTTCATTAGGGATTTGTTTGGTTTAGGAACATTTTTTGCGCGTAATTTATATCTGGTTTTATGATTATGTTTAATTATGTCGTGTTCACTAATAGTTTTGTGATAATGAGTGATGGTATGTAAGAAGTAAAGTTGTTTTGTATCATATACTCATAAGCCATTAGTTGGGTATAATTTTGATTTGCCTAACATTGATTTTAAAATTCTTCTTTGAAGTACATCTAAATCGTTAAAGTATGTCGTGCATGCAGCACCCCACACTACTATACCATATGTTATGTGTGGCTCGACTAAAGCTTGATATATTATTCGTAGATAATATTCAGTTAATATACCGGTTAGAAATTTTATTTTATATGCTATGAATCTAATTTTCTTTAGTATGTGAGAAATATGTACATCCCATCTCAAGTGGGGATCTAGATAAATTCCTAAATATTTTGTATCATTAACTCTATTGATTTTTATATTTTTATCATTTACCTTAAACCGAAGGTGGTTATATTTTGGTAGATGATTAGATAGTGATGAAAATGGTAAAAAATGAGTTTTAGTAAAGTTAATTGTTAATTTTCGGTTATTAAACCACTGAATAATTTTGCAAAAGTCATTTTGGAGAATATCTTTTAAGTCGTTCCAATCCTTACCTTTATAGAGTATAGCAGTATCGTCTGCAAAACTGACTATTTTACCAGTACTGTTAATTTTGAATATATCGTTTAAATAAATATTGAATAACAGAGGACCCAAAATTGTACCTGTCATGAGTGGATAGAATATGGAAGGTACTCAAAAGGTTTTTACCAAAAGAGGCTTGGCCTCGACAATCCAGATCAAGAAAGGACAACTCCCCTGTCGTAATGTCACCACTTTGAAATTATCAAAACATTGATGAGTAATTTATGTACTACCCTCGTAATAAAAGTTAAAAGGTACAGGGTAGTACTCCGTGAGTTGGGATTATTGTTTTCTCGGGTTGGTCGGTCTATTATTGTCTTATCTAATTTTCTCAAAAGTGGGATTGTTGTTTTATTATGTTTATGATTCTATCGCCGTGTTCATCATAGAGATTCCAGCAGTAAGAGGACCTACAACATTCCAAGCTTGATACTGTCCAGAGGAGGGCTGTTTGACTGATCGAGGACTATTTTGTAACGGACAGTCTCGGGACCCTTTCCCGCCGACGCGCCGTCAGCGATCTGGCTGTCTTGTACCGCTATGTCAACGCACGATGTACCTGCCTCTCATCTTGACCCTGTCGAACGTCGTACATCCAAAACTGGTCGATAAGACCGTTCCCTTATCACTGGGGTATCGAGATAGTAGAACAATCTACATGAGAAGGGTTTGTCGCTTCCTCTGTGCCCAGGTATCCACAATGGAAAAATAATGTTCTTCAGTTTCAGTTCGCAGGGGTGTACTACACTTCTAGATCACATCTAACATTTGAAGATGCTACTGCTTTTGAAGCCTCTCAGAGCCGAAGCATATCATCCTTGCGTTTCCAGGCATTAGTAACCTAAATACATTAATTTTAACAAGCTGTTCCATTTCGTATATAATTTACCTTCTCAATAATAAGTGGCATTATAGTAATTGACAAATATAAATACTCAATTTTACAAAAACACGTCTGCACATTACCATGCAAAACTACAGGCTTAAAAAATGTAACAGATAAATAAAATTAGCAATAGTGCAAGCCTTTCTTCTGTGCTTATACTTCTTCTGGTATGATAGCAGGCAGCAGATACCGGCTGAGCTGTTCTTCATTATCAATGAAGTGTACCTTCTGTGTCGTTTTCTTATTCAACCAGCCCTTGATAATGGTCCAGCAACCAGAAAACATAGATGAAGCATTTAGTATCAGACACACGCCCAATCGTTCTGGATAATGTTTGCTAATCAGCCATATGATGTTTTTGACCAACTGGTAGTCAATGCTACTTATATTAAACCCACTCAGATCAAACACGAGGCATATGTCATCTGTAAAGTCCTCTACGCACATATTTGAGGCTTCTTCCAGGCAGTATACGATAAATTTCGTCATTTCGTCCAAATTTCGACTGGAAGAGTTATAATTTTTGGCTGGTATGTAAATGACTGGACGACCCAAGCCGTCTCGATAGTCCAAGATGATAGCCTTGTTCTCCCCAATATACCTTCTCATAACCGGATGATCCTTGGTAAGGTCTTTAACGCCATATTCCCTTCGCCATTTGTTGGTCTTCAGAATAGCATGAAAGGCTTTGTCCGCGTCTCCAAACGCGTTAAGGTATCTCCTCAAAGATAGGTCGCTAAGGTACTGATCTGGATCCGCAGATGCTATAAGTTTCATCCGCGACTTTAAGTCCTTGAAATGGAGCTCGAATTCGTCTTGTTCCTCTACCTCTGGTGGCTCGTTCATTTTAGAATTGCGGCTATAATAAATGATCGTTCTGACATATATTCCATTCAACCTACATTTAAAATGTCAGTTTGTAATGGACTAAGTGGGAAGGTAATAGACAAGTAGTCCTGGAAATATCTCTTTCTGCAAAAATAGGTCCAAAATTTTTTTCTGGATGTCGCGAAAGCCTTTGCAAGACATACCACGCAGGCCTCCTTTAAAAACAAATAGCCAAAATTTAGTTCAGGGCAAGTGAAAATGTATACAGTACAATATAACAGTCCCTAGATCTGTCTCAGCTGAAATATTTACACAGAAAAATTACTTTTCTTTCTTTTCTGGCTCCTACTTCCTTTCTATCTCCCTCTCCACCTTCCTCTACAACTTGTTTGGTTTCTGGGCCACTTCGACTACGACTAACGACAGATCTGACATTACAGTGACTGACTATGACTTAAAGGCTAAGGTCCTCCGGATGGCCTTGAGAAACAATGACGACGAGAGATGCCCAAAATTGAGTCAAAAACTGTTGACAGTTTCTTTAACATATTCCAAAGATTGTTTTTTTCATTCCAGATAAAGATTTTTTAGATTTTTGGATCATTCTAAACTAACAATGTTTCCATAAATTTCACTTTAAAGTTGATATTTTCGAGATATAAGCTGTTTAGGGCCGTTTGACAGATTTAGGGTCATAACGTCAGTCGTTCCTACAATGGGCTTCTTGATTTTCATAGTTTTCTACTGTTCCATGTCAGCGCTCTATTTTGAGGTTATGTTACAAATATATATTTGAATAAAATTGTTCATGCTTTTGATTTACATCATTTGTTATATCAGCCTGAAATTTCCTGCAATTCAAAAAGGAAACATAGCCTCACAATAGGAGATCGCAGACAAGGAACAGTAGAAATCTAGAAATACCCCAGCCTTTCTGAAGGAGAGAAAAGACTGAAAATCAAGGAGGCCATAAAGGCGTCCTACCTCTGTAGGAATGGCTGACGATACGGCCCAAAGTATTTGAAAAATTGCGAAATATGCTAAAAAACTACTTTCCAAAGTTCCTAAATATTTTTCAACTATCAACTAATAAAATGCGGACGCATTTTAGAAGATATTGTTATTGTACACACATTTGTTGTTTCCTACGTTACTGGCGAGGAAGTATTGTAAAAATCATGTCACTCCTCCCGTCAGTCTGTCAATTTGTCGGTCTGTTTATCTGTCTATCTGCCTGTCAGTGAATTATTGGCTCGTCTATAACTTTGGAAGTACCGCTCGGATTTCAGGAAATTATAACACGAGGTTTATGTCAATAATAAAAAAGCTTTGTAGTTTTTGAAAATCGCTCCATTCGCGGTGGAGAAAAAGGCCTAAAACGTTGTTGTCGTTTCAGGAAAATTTTTGCAGGGATGTTAGAGGTTGTAGCGGGTGGGAAGAGTATATGTAATTTTTTGCTGCTAACATTTTATACGTTTCAAACCACGCTAGTTCTACGCACCTAATAATACATATACAGGTTACAGCAGAAAGGGGTTGGCTTGCCAGCCTTAACGTCACCGCGACCCAAATGAGTATATTGTGACCTCCATAGATACTTTCTTAAGCACTGTGTCCAGCCTTGATCCTTTAGTCAGATTACATAGCCTTGACACAGAGCCTTGCACGTAGATGTTGGACCTGCTGTTTCTAATATCTGAAACCATAGCCTTGTCAGGCCTTCACAGTGACACAGGAAATGCTCTGGTGTTTCATCATGCCCTCTGCAGAAATGGCCTTCCTATTGAATCAGAGTAGGTCCTCTATAAATGGGTTCTTTAGGGTGGATTTCACAATTTAACAAACCATTATTCTGCACCAATAGGGTACGAGTACCAAACAGTCCGTTAAATATACCCAATCAGCCTCAAGATCTCTCCGTCAAATTTTTGGCAGCAAATAGCATCAAAGTATTCAAAATAAAACACTGTAAAATATGAAGTGACAGCTTGCCATTGAAATCTTTTTAGTTTATTAAATATTATGAAACTATGTAAAAAAAAAAAATCTATTTTTTCAGATTAGCTGAAGGTTTTTCCATGTTTACTGCAACTTTTGTAATCCATATGTGATTATATCACCTACTGTGTGCTTATAGTTTATCCTATATTTGCAAACTTGCACTTCCAAACCCTTACATGAAAAAGCCTTTTCACTCAAATTTTTGTTAGGTGTTGCATTTCAACACATTCATACACTTCTTTCCAGTTCCTCAACGATATTTTAACCCCACTCGTCCGAAACTGTTCAACAGTTTCAACATTCATACATACAATTGCAGTTGCAGTTCTTTGTTTTAATTTCAGTGTATAATCACTCGCACCATCGTTGATGGTACATTCAACATAACCACGTATTTAGGGGTTCGTGCAGATTTAACGTGTACACGACGTCGTCACTAGGCGCTCCTCTTGCGATGTCCGATTGCGTTCAGGTGCCTTCTGCAGGTACCTCTTCATCACGGTCATGAGTTGATACCAGCGCGGCTCTCGTTTTTTTTTTGCCATGGCCATCCTCAATTAATCGCACAAAAAACAAGTCCAAGGCAGAAAAACACACCCGAAGACGAACACCAAAACAACCGCAAATTCGTAAACAACTCAAACAAAACCAACAGATGATTCACCGCCTGGCTTTGACCGTAAATCGTCGTGGAACACTAGTCACCACAGAATTATTATAATTACGTCAATACGAGCATAGAACAGTATAGAAAGGGCTATCCAAAGGTAAGACGAGTTCCGAAACCACCCGAATCATGTCAAAAAATGTCTGTGACGTCACCAAAACGCTGACCACCACTGGAAATCACTAGCTAGTTACCATCTGGCGGCGTAACACATAGAGGACACTGGTGTAGAAACAGCTGATCTTTAAATTCGGTTACGTTAAGTAGTGCATGAGCCCGACATTATTTTTTAGTAATTACTAATAATTTTAGGTCTATGTCTACAGTAATTGCATTATGCACCTCGGAGATGTAGGGATTAACATGTTTTACACATATCGGTGTTTTAGGATGGGGACGACATATTGTTTAGATTGCTTTGAAGATATTCATTAACCCATGAATTTATAACAAATGATTACTATTATGATGTAAAGAGAGATGAGGAATTGGTTGGAATACATTTTATATTCTATTTTCTTGCAAATCAGCACAATTCAACAGGTATGTGTAGCTATAATGATCTCATAATATACACACAGTATATTGAACTTAAAAAATTTCGAGATTGCCATGAATTAAGAAACGACCAAACCTGCTGCCAAATTTAACAGCTAGAAAATCGACCTATTATTTCTCCCATTCCCATTCGCTGAGGGGATAACGGATGGTCAAATGTACACCTATAACATAAATCAAAATACATGAAAGTTGTACTGTTTTCTCTGTACAAAAGCATCATTTTGGAATCAAAAATGGTCTTGTTTATAATACAGTCGAATTTTCACGATATTCTGAGACCTTTGACAGCTTCCGTCAAATTGCATTTCGATAAGGTATTTTCCTATTGGTCCATAATAATAATGTTGGTGAAATCGGCCCTTTTGATCAACTATTTTGCCTGCCTTTGCCCCTATTGGCTGTCCCACCATTCTAGAGACTTTTTCTTGGTCCAATTTCTCACTGACTGTTTAATGCATGTTCTTGTCACGCCACGGAAAGGCTCTGGACCTATAAGACGATTGGCCGCACCTTGACGGGCTAACTCATCCGACTTTTCATTTCCTTTGTGCCCTTCATGTCCTGGTACTCTTTGAGAGTGTTTATGCAATCCCATACTAATTTAGACGATATTTCCGATAAACTTGATGCCTGTATGGCTGTCTGAGCAGATGGCGATCGACTGACTTGCAGTCTGATCTGCGTTCAGCTCTGTGTGCAATTTTTGATAGACCGATCGATAATAATAAAATAAGCAATAATACATGTATCATACATCATAGACGTCCTCGTACAATTACTCTTAAGTCTTTGAGAAATACCAAACGGACGTATCGCATCTGAGTCTCGCTTGCCGTACGCTACAAACTAATCTCGGTACCCACAAAATCATGTCTGCGGCTACCACCTAGTCCCTTACCTCTCACCGTCACACTGCTTGAACTGGCCAGTACTGCATGACTGACGTTGCCAGATGGTCGACACGTTCAGTAAGGGCAGGGAAGAATTTTCTAGATCGCAGTTCACTTGTTTTCTTACAATAATAATCGTTTATGAACTGATGTCAGCGTTACATGGGAAGTGCATAGTCAACCTACTTGACGCCATTTCTTTAAATTCAATTTGCTTCTCGTTCATAACCATGATAAGTCATGTAATCTCGAAACGGCTTCTCACTTATAAAACGGAGACCTGTTCAAAAATTTAAAGTTCTGCTACTACCCGTAGTATACGAAAATCATTAACTGCTAATTTGATTAAGCTTTATTAGTGCTGTACTTTACAGCAAAGTGTAATAATTAGCACAAGTTTAAAGATGTAATCTGAAACTGTACAACGTAGAACGGAAATATAGATAAAGCAAGTTGAAACATTAAAGCTGAAAATTCCTGATGAAATCAAGATAGTCAGTTGCGTATTTTACAACTAGGCGCGCCCTCGAATTATCATTTAGTCGAGGGTTAAACGGGATACAAAACTCCAGGATCCATAAATTTATGATAACTGCTTCTAATTTCATTGCACAGCCAGCGCTCCGGAAGTTCGCTCTATTCCGTTTATTTCTTGAGGAATTCCGTTTTTATGGCTATATTTTCTGCTTTGCTTCTCACCAATAAAATAACTTTGCCTAATGATCTAACTGGGCTCCGACTTTTTGTTTTTACCTACATAAACAGGGTTCACAAGTCGTGACCAAGAATGAAACATCACACACAAGACCGCATTTTATGTAACATTTTTTCCTCCGTCAACTGGAAATGAACTAAGTATTTTCCACCTTTTAAACTCTTTACTTAAAATTAACATGCAC